CTAAAGCAGGAGAATTGCAACATGGCAAGATCTTGTCTTTAAAAAAAATGATAAAGTCAAAAATCAATCAGGTGCCAGAAGGAGGGAACCCAGCAAGGGCCCACCTCCGGCCCAGACCCTAACACTACAGAAAACCCCAATGGTGCTGAAATACTTGCCCGGCTACACCTAGCCCTTCCCTACCTGGGAGGGAGGTGGCAGTTCTTACCTGTCTGGTTTCTGCCAAGAAACTCACCCTGGCCCTTTATCATAAGCCTTAACATGCAGTCAACATTTATGTGCAGACACATAAATGCATAGATACACACTTTTAAAAACTTGTGGAAAATAGCTAATTAGTAAAAATAAAGTGAACACATTTTGTCGTGCAAGATATATATATATATATTTGTTTTTTTTTTTTTTTTTTTTTTTTTTTTGAGAGGTTTTTGCTATAGGGCGCGTGCACCCTCTAGAGAGACAGAAAGCAAGAAATCACCCCCCAGGGGGATGGCCACATGGCAATCCCTTCTCCTCCATTCTCCTCTTGGGATCTTGGGCACGCACGCAAGGTGTGAGTTTAAGCCTGGTGTGAGTTTAAGCCACCAGATCTGCGACTTGAGCTGTGGTCGACTACATGGGAATCCAGGACATAGCCATTACGCCAACGGCTGGCCCCTGTCATGCAAGATATTATTTTGAGTGTACAGCACCAGGTTTTACTGGCCTCCCGAGCTGCCTGCCCTGATCGAGTACACTGTATTCATCCCCAGACAGAGGAATTAGGGAGAGCAGAGGGCGCAGGAGGCGGGAGAAGCAGGGGGAACCCAAGCTCCCAGCGCCCGTGCTGAGAAAGCACACCTTCCACAGACTCAGAGACCTCGTCAGACAACCTTGAGGGATTATAAAGCCAGACTTCAGTTTTGCTTTTGGGGAGAGCTATTGTTTTCCTTATTTTTTAAAAAAGTTTTGTTCAGAATTTTGTTTGTTGGCAAATTCTGTGTGATCTTTTTCATAACAAGAGAAGAGGAAAGAAAAGAAAAAGATTTAATTAACCCTCCCACAAACATTAATCAGTACCTGGGAAAGTAGATTTACAACCGATGTAACAAACAGGCTAATTTTGATACTATACATAAAAAACGATGACAAATCACTAAACAAAAGACCAACGGCCACATTGAATAAATGAGTAAAGAACATAGACAGTTCAAATAGTTCAAAGACAAACAAATGTAGACAATTATATTTTTTTTGTCATAGGGTGCATGTGTTTGCTGGAGAGAGTCAGGGACAGAGAGAGGAAACTGAGAAATCACCCCCTCCCCCCCGGGGGGATGTCCATACTGCAATTTCTTCTCCATTTTCCTCCTGGGATTTCAGGTATGCCCGCACACACACCTGGTGTGATTTTCAAGCTGCCAGGTCTGGGACTTGAGCAATGGATGTCCATGTGGGAGTCCAGTGCTTTAACCACCACGCCACCGGCTGGCCCTGTGCACTTCTAAATTTTCTAATGTTCAATTTCTTCAAGTACTTTCAAACTTTCAGCTACCATTTGCGGCTTGTTAGTGTTCAGTATCTTCAGACCAGGCATTAGAATTTGTCACATAAGAAAGTATAAAGACCTTGCTCAGATGCTGATTCTCTAAGAAACCATCAGTGATCACTCACTAGTACTTTTGATTTAGTGTTGTTGTTTACCTTGAAATAGCATCAGCTCATTTATAAAGTTTTATTATCAACGCATACACTTTATAGACACTTTGGACAGTTCTAAATAGTAGAAACAAGGTAAAAATAGGAAATTCTCATAATCCCACCATACATATGCAGCTCAGCTACTTGTTTCTTCTTTTGAAAAGTGTTTTTTAAACTTTTTACATAGGGAATTTCAAGTGGAAAATCATATGAGCTGCATGTAATATATTATAAACTTACCAAATAGCTACATATTTCCTATATAAACTAATTTATTTGAATATTTATTTGTCCAATATTGGGTACTTAAGCTCAATCTAAATTGTTGTTGTTATAAATAAGATAGTGATAAACATCTTGAGCATTAATCATTTGCCACATTCTAGATTTTTAGAGGTAGAGTCCTGAAACAGAATTTAAATACTCTGTCTTAAATTTTTAAGTGCATTCTAAATGACTTTGTCCACAGTGTCATTGCCAATGATACTGGCATTATTAATAATTTATTGAGCACCTATAGCACTTTGTATTTATAGTTCAAAAGATAATCTCTCTTAAATTGCAAACATTCCGGGAGAAAGACTTTTTCATAACAAGAGAAGAGGAAAGAAAAGAAAAAGATTTAATTAACCCTCCCACAAACATTAATCAGTACCTGGGAAAGTAGATTTACAACCGATGTAACAAACAGGCTAATTTTGATACTATACATAAAAAACGATGACAAATCACTAAACAAAAGACCAACGGCCACATTGAATAAATGAGTAAAGAACATAGACAGTTCAAATAGTTCAAAGACAAACAAATGTAGACAATTATATTTTTTTTGTCATAGGGTGCATGTGTTTGCTGGAGAGAGTCAGGGACAGAGAGAGGAAACTGAGAAATCACCCCCTCCCCCCCGGGGGGATGTCCATACTGCAATTTCTTCTCCATTTTCCTCCTGGGATTTCAGGTATGCCCGCACACACACCTGGTGTGATTTTCAAGCTGCCAGGTCTGGGACTTGAGCAATGGATGTCCATGTGGGAGTCCAGTGCTTTAACCACCACGCCACCGGCTGGCCCTGTGCACCCATCTTTCCATGGCCTCTTTCCTGTGTCTGTGTTTCAAAACCTTCCTTTCTCTTATGACACCAATGATTGGACTTAGGGGCCACCCTAAAACCAGGATGGTCTCTTCACGGGGCCCTTCGCTTCATTACGTCTGCAAAGACCTTATTTCCAAATCAGGTCGCAGTCACAGGCACCGTGTTTAGCGTTGGACGCGTGGGAGTAGGGGTGCACCGTCTCACTCACTACGATGATTACAGTCGTTTTCCCTAGGAAGGGGGGGCTCAGGAGTGGGAGGGAGATGAACTTTCCACTGCATGTTTTTTGAACTACTCACATTTTTTTTTTAAATCCTGCAAACCCCAAAAGTTTTCATTAACCTTCCACACAAAAGAATACCCCACCTGTCCAAAAGGGCATACGCATTCAAAATGTGGGTGCAGCGACGTTGCCCTAATTCCACCCACTGGGTACAGCGACTGCCCTAATTGCACCCACGTGGCTGCAGACGCCAGTCTCTGAGGTTGCAGGAGTGGCCAAGGGGCATAAGCAGTGAGTCCTATCTACTGGTTCAGGCCGTGACTGGAGGTCAAGGGTCTTTTGAGCGCGAACAACCTTGGAGGGAGGGTGTTTGAGAGTGGGAAAGCCGTGAGAATGCTGTGGGATGAAGGGAAGGTAACGGGAGGGGAGGAGTTCCCTGGGGAGGCCAGATGGGGACAGGGCAAGGTCAGCTGAGGACAGGAAGGAGATGTTCCCAAGAGGAAAAGCTGTCAAGGTGGGAGGGAGGACACGGGGAGGCCAGACTTGCCCTGACTGCTTGTACCTCTGTGGGAGCAGTTGGCTGGTCTCAGCTGGCTCCGGGAAGGGGACCCAGCTGAGAAGAGGAAGGAAGCGGCACAACTGCTTTGAGCAACCTGTGTGTGGGGGGGGATTAGTGAGGGATGAAAATCCTGCCAAGTGGCAAAGAACGTGGTGGAGGTTATGGGATGAGAAGTGACTGCCCCTCTGGTTCCATCTGTCACAGAGCCCAGGCACCCGCGGGCTTCCTTCCTCCTCCACTTCTGTCCGAACACCCACGGCACACTGAACGGTGGCCAGGGGGACTCCGGAGTCCTCCGTGCACACGCCTTACCCTCTGGTACATGTTAACTCCTGGGAGGTGAGACCCTCCTCCCAGAGGGGAACATGGGGGAATGCCTGCCCCGTCTAGCCGTGAGACGGGAGGGTAAAGCCTCAAAAGCAAGATTCAAACACTGCTGCATTTACGGGCATCAGGAAAGAGCCACAGGTCTCGCAGGCCGTCCTGAGCTCCTGTTCTGTGTCAGGATTGGTGGGATGTTGGAGGGGGGACAGCTCTGACCTCACTCCACGGAGCTCCCTGGCAAGCCCCGGGTTGCAGAGACTGTTTAACGGGCTCTCTGGAGAGTGGCCTATGCCAACCAGGGGGAAAGGGCCCTGACTCTGGACACCAAGACGGAGTCAGAGCGAGTCTTTGCTCTCAGCATCTGCAGTGCCTCTGTGAAGTGATATCACTCAGCCTCCTCAGTGTTTTCTCAGGACAGCCCTCTGGGGAGTGGCAGGCCCCGCCTAAGTCACACTCTGAGAGCCCTCGCTGCCATTTCCCACTGCATCCTTCTGCATGGCGTGGTCGCTGTCAACCGGACACTTGTCTCATCGATTCTTGGACGTGGTGTATGGAAGGCATCTTTGCCAATGGGAACACAGAGCTTGTGCCTACAGGGAAGTTTGCACTGATACACAGATCTGCAGATTTAAAAACACTCTTAGTGGAATAAACCCCTTGCAATGCGTGTAGGCTGGACATCAACGCAGTAACTTCAGGAAGCAGCCAGCTGGTGAGGTCGGTGTGCAGTGTGCAGAAGGCAAAGGCTAGAGAGGGGTCCAGGCTAGTTTAGGAGGTCAAGTTCAGGCCGTTGACTAGAATCCGTGGGCAGTGAGGAGCCTGCAGTCAGACGGATCAGAGAGGGCCGCCGGTCGTGGAGAGGAGGGTCTGGAGTGGGTGATTTAACTTCGTTCGAGCGGGAGGCGAGGGGGTGGTGGCGAGTGGCAAGGCAACCCGGGGAAAACTGACCAGGTGCGCCTGGCATCGCACGCAGGGCTCAGGATGCCTGGCGAAGAGGAGGCGCCTCCTGCGCGCCCGCCCGCCTCCCAGCCCAATTAGGATTTGGGATTCTTTCTTCCTCCCCTGAGCGTAATCCGACGCTGCCTGGGGAGGGCGAGGCCGAAACCTGATCCTCCGGTCCTGGGGTTCCGTTAATGTTTAATCAGATAGGATCGTCCGATGAGGCTCGGGTGGCGTGATCTTCCAGCCCCGGGCGTCGAGCACCCACACCCTAGAAGGTTTCCGCCGAGGCGTCGAGGCTGCAGGCGTGCACTGCGGCGCAGGGTTCTGGGTCTGAGGCTGGAGGAGTGAGCCAGGCGTGAGACTGCGGGGCCGAGACGCGTCGCTGCAGTGTGCAGCCCCGGCGTCCCTTCGCAAAGGCGCTGCTCCCTCCAGGATCCCAAGCTCCAGCGCACGCACTGTTCTTTCCACCGCCAGGCCCCAGGCGCGGCCTGCCAGGACCCAAATCTCGCCTGTCGCCCTGATGGGTACCGGTAACTCCAGGCAGCCGCGATGGCCGCCGCTGCTGCTGCTGTTGGTGCTCCTGGGGCCTGCAGTCGCCCGCGCGCAGGAGGACGAGGACGGCGACTACGAGGAGCTGGTGCTCGCCTTCCCGTCGGAGGAGGACGGCCCGGCAGACGCGGCCCAGCACGTGGCCACTGCCACTTTCAACCGCTGCGCCAAGGTGCGGGCGCCGGGTGGGAGGCGGGTGCGAACCCGCCGTGGGGACGCCTGCGAATGCTGTTTCCTCTCCCGCTTCAGTTTCCCCGGAGCAAGGGAAAGGCAGGCGTGAAGGTCTCCGAGAGCCCTCTGCTCACCTGGCGACCGCCTTGGCGCGATCTTGGGAACTGCCGGCACCGATGGCTGGGGAAAAGGGGACCGACGGCGCTTTGGGGAAGCGCTGGCGCGCGCGGCTGCGCTAGGCGGTGGAAAGCTCGCAGGGTGGAGGGCCAGGAGGGGTGAGGCCGGGCGAGCGAGCTGCCAGGAGCGCCTGCTCGGATTCCAGCCGCCCTGCACCCCTGGCCTGGTTGGGTGCAGAAGTTGATTCCTGGAGCGCGCTTGGCGCACTCGGGCTCAGAGGAAGAGGCCTGCCGTCACTGCACGGTGACTGCCTGGGAAGTGTCGGACCCGTGTGGGAGCTGGGAGGTCAGGGAGAGATGACACTACCCCAGACAGGGGTGCAGCGGCAGAGACGGCGGAAGATCTGGAGGACAATTTTTCATGCCACAGAGTTTATATTCTAGTATAGCGTCATTTTTCTGCAGAATAAAAGGATAAACTGAAGGCCACGAAGCGGGGTTACTTTTCCAGGACCGCTGGGGTCTTTTGGGGCTCAGACCGGGAAGGGCCGTGGTGCTCAGGGGCCGGAAACCAGCGCGCCTGGGAGCCAGAGTCGGGATGAGATCCGGGACACTGAGTGGAAGCCCACCTGACAGCCACGGGAGGGCAGAGGTGGGGTGAGAGGGGCGAGTTTCCTGAACATCCCTGCCAGCCTCGGGCGGAGGGAAGCCCCAGCCGCGAGTCCCGGGTCGCTGGTTCTCTGCAGTTAGAACCCCCCGGGGCGGGGGGCTTCCTGTGGTCCGGCTGCCCCGCGGCTGGAGTTGAGCTGGCTTCATCTCACTATCTGTGTAAGTGAGCCTTGAGGCTCCATTTCCTCATCTTTAAGAGGGAGGTGTCAGCCTCCTCCGTTCCTAAAGGAATTGGCCTGAAGGTTCAGTGGCCACACGGGGGAGAAAGTGGCCACCAGAGTGACCACAGCAGGAACCTCAGATGGAACCCTGGGAAGAAAGCACTGCCGAGGTAGCTATGTCACTGACTGCAGCGTGACCTGGTGACACTGACCACAGCTGGGGGTGGGGGGGAGAATTCTGCCACTCACAGCCGCCTGGCCTGTCTTTCTGCAGAGAGCTGGGGCCCCTGGAAGTCAGAGCCTTGCTCAGCTCAGAACACCCTCTTTCTTGTCCCCTGAGCCGTTTGTCCTGTTGAGGGGATGCAGTGGGTTGTGCTCAGGATAGTAAGGTGCAGTTCAGGTCATCTCTGCCCCAATGTAACTGCCCAGGAGTAACGGGTTCCCTATCCGGAGGGGTGAATAGGCAGGGTGTGAGCAAACACGTGAACTAAGTAAGCCTGTGAGAGTATTTCTTCCCTGGAGAAAGTTCATTTATTCATTCATTCAGTGGATATTTTGTGGGAGGTGAATCTAGAAGGAAGATATCTCAGGAAGCAGAGAAAAGTTTTAGACCATTCCTTCTATTTTAATCATTAGAAACTGAGGCCCAGGGAAAAGAGGTGTATGTACCCTCTGGTGCATTAGAATTGAGCTTCCAGGAGAACTTTCATTCCACTGCACTATGAGATTGATGAGATTTTCATTTGGCAGAGGGCATTGTAAATGGGACTTTGAAGCATAAATAGGAGTTCAACAAATGAAGATGGCAGGAGTATTTTATTCTGGGGGGAGGGGAAGCATGAACAAAGGTATAGAACTGGGAAAGCCAGAAGTGGAGAATAAAGAGCATGTGTCCACAGCCCCAATCATACCATCTTCTGAAATGTAAAATGTTCTGAATATCAAAACCTTTTTTTTTTGTCATTTATTTGATAGTAGAACCTGGCCTCTGTTAACATTAGGTTATTTATAATCTTTACTTTTTCTAGTTATATTAGTACACATATTCATATTTTTTTCTAGAGGTTTTTGCTATAGGGCCCATGTGCTCGTCAGAAAGACAGAGAGAGAGAGACAGAGAGACAGAAAGTGAGAAATCACTCCCCAGGGGAGATGGCCGCACCTCAATCCCTTCTCCTCCTTTCTCCTCTCGGGATCTTGGGCACGCACGCACACGTTCCCAGTGTGAGTTTAAGCCACCGGGTCCAGGACTTGAACTGCGGTCGACTACATGGAAGTCCAGTGACATAGACATTATGCCAGCTACTGGTCCCCATATTCATATATGTTGCTGCATAGATTCAGAGACCTCTGAATGAATTCCCTGATTGCCCATTACTTTCTAAAATTCAAACACAATCTGAATTCCAAAACTTACCTGGCCCTACGCCTTTGGATAAGGGGGTATAGACTTTATTCTACTCTGGCTGGAGTCCACGGAGCACATACAGAGATTCAGGAGATGAGGCTGAAGAGGTGTGTGAGGTGCGGGCCCAGGAGGAGTAAGGAGCTTGGACTTCATCTGTTAGGCTGTGGGGAGCCTCTGAAGGTTCTGGAGCAGGCATTTTTGCTTGAGAGCAGCTGGAGCTAACCAAGACCCAATGAACCTGCTCTACTGGATTGTGGCCTTGCCTCTTCTCCATTTGAGAAGTGTGGCCTTGGGGCAGCCAATGGTATGTGACTCGGGTGTCTGGATCCCACATGGTCAACTGCATGGGTCGAGTCTTGGATCTGGCAGCTTGAAAAACACTCTAGGCACATCTGCATGTGTGCCCCAAATCCCAGAAGGAGAATGGAGGAGAAGGGATTGTGGCATGGCCATGCCCCGGGGGGTTGCTTTCTCACTTATCCTCTCTGTGTCTCTCTCCTTCGAGCACATTGTGTCCCATAGCAAACATTTTTTAAAAAAAGATAAGAAATTAAAAACAAACAAACAAACAAACAAAACAGAAGAGGCATGGGCTCTATTCACCAAGTCATCCCTTCCTGCAGCATTGACAGAGTCACCTGCTGGGTACTGTCCACCGTCTCTCCTGCCTTCCCGGGCCTGCCATGGGTGCCCCAGGGTCTCCACAATACAGAGGAGACATCTGTGCCCAGAGAGACTGGGTGGCTTGCTCCTGGCTGCACAGCCAGTAAATATTGGAGTTGGGGTGCAGGCCTACATTTTTCTGGCTTCAAAGCCCAGCAGTTTTCTCCCTCTAGACTGCCCCTGCACATTCTGGAAGGGGAGAGAGTGTTTCATTCTGATTGAAGTACAGAGTGGGGAGGGGCGGTGTAACTAGGAAGGCCTCTGGGAGGGGGTGGCTCTGGGGCAGGGCCTCCAGGGGTGACCAGGTCCAGAGGAGACTGCTATGGAGTGGGGTGTAACCTTGGTCCCTGTTTTTGTGGGACTTCCAGTCTCGACTGTGATGCACCAGCTCTGTTAATGCCAGTAATTGGCCTAAGAGGGGCTCTTCGAAAAGGTCCTGGAAAATGTGTGTATGAAAAAACTGCATGGATCTCAGTTTATTTATTTATTTTTCGCTTTTGCTGTAAAACTCATGTGCTCCGCTGGAAACAGATTGAGAGAGGGGAAGTGAACTATCACCCCCAGAGGGGGGACCTCCTCCATTCTCGTTTTGGGACCTTGGGCCTGTATGCACACGTACCCAGTGTTTTATTTTCCTTTGGAGAGGTTTTTGCTATAGGGCATGTGCACTCACCAGAAAGACAGAGACAGAGAGACAGAAAGCGACAAATCATCCCCCAGGGGGATGGCCATGCCATAGTCCCTTCTCCTCCATTCTCCTCTTGGAATCTTGGGCACGCATGCACATGCACCCAGCATGAGTTTAAGCCACGGGGTCTGGGATTCGAACCATGGTCGACTACATGGGAGTCCAGTGACATAGCCATTACGCCATCTGCTGGTTCCCCCGAGTGTGTTTTTCACTTTACCGGGTTCAGCACTCAGACTGCATAGGTGGCCATGTGGGATCCAGCTGCCTTAACCACCACGCCATTGGCTGACCTCTGATCTCAGAATCCCTTTTCACCTAAATAAACTCACACTTTAATTCTGTTTTCCCACAGACTTTTTCAATTCTCTGAACTGTGGTTTTTCCTTTGCTTTTCAGTCCTGATTTAGGCCACCTCTCATAGTTTACTCTTGTTTCTTTTGTTCTAATTCTAATCTGGTATTAGAGGAGGGATGAAGCACATGATTTCTTTCTTTTTTTTCCCCCTGAGTTTCTTTTTTCCGGTACTCCCAGCAGGGACTCCCCACTGCACCCCACTCCCAGCTTCAGTACCTGGGATCATGGGCACGTGTGAGCCTGGGGTACTCAAGAGGGCCCCCAGATGTGAACCCTGCACCTTCTCACGGGGTCGGCCTTGCAGAGGGTGGTGCTACCCCTGTGCCACCGTCAGGCCTCTGGGTTTAATTTTTGCAATGGGCACATGTGCTCACTGAAGAGACAGAGACAGAGAGACAGACAGTGAAAAAATCACCCATCACACCCCTTCCTAAAGGGGGATGGCCACACCGCAGTCCCTTCTCCTCTCTTTTCCTCTTGAGGTTTAGGGCACGCACATGTGCCTGGTGTGAGTTTTAAGCCACTGAGTCCGACTCAAACCAGGGTCAACTATGTGGGAGACCAGTGACGTAAACACTATGCCATCTGCTGGTCCCCTCTGGGCTTGTTTTTAATGGCCTCATGTTCCTTCCTCTTCCTTCCCGGGGCCAGGATGCCTGGAGGCTGCCGGGCACCTATGTGGTGGTGCTGAAGGAGGAGACCCACCGCTCGCAGGCCGAGCACACCGCCCGCCGCCTGCAGGCCCAAGCTGCCCGCCGGGGCTACCTCACCAAGGTTCTGCATCTCTTCCATGACCTCTTCCCTGGCTTCCTGGTGAAAATGAGCGGCGACTTGCTGGACCTGGTGAGCCACCCTGCCCCTGCTAGGTACTGTCCTTCATGTGCCCATCGCTGTAAAGGAGATGGGGACAGCAAAAGCTCACTGAGCCCTCGGGGACCAGGCACACGGACTACTGGCTTTCCGGAGATGTTTCTAAACCAGGCTACCTCCAGTGACGCGTCCTCCTTCATGGGGAAGAGGACGACCCCGAGGTTCAGAAGGGACCACACAGATAGCTAGGGTCCATCTGTGATTCTCTGGTGTCAAGATCCCGGGACATTTGATGGAGCTGAGTTGGCTTATAAAAGGACCGAGGGTCCAGAATTCCTCGGAAGCCAATGCCATTGTCCTCCAGGATAGGGTGGCTCTTCCTCCAGCTTAGCCAGGACTTCAGCCTTTGGTGGAGGGCAGAAGCAATTTCTGGCCTCTCTCTCTTCAATGCTTTAAATGCAATTTCTGGCCTCTCTCTCTGCCTCAATGCTTTAAATGCAAATCTTTTTCTGTTTGAGAGAGGAACTTTTGCTATAAGGTGTGTGCGCTCACTAGAGAGACAGAGACAGAGAGACAGAAGGCGAGAAATCACCCTCCGGGGGGTTGCCCACACTGCAATCCCTTCTCCTCCATTCTCCTCTTGGAATTTTGGGCACACACGCATGCGCCTGGCATGTGTGCTCAGTCCTGTAGGCTGGGGGCAGGGATGGGACAGGGTCCCTGTCCCGAAGCCTTTGGTCAAGAAGGGAGGCCCCTGTGTAAATGCTTCCAGTCTGCTCAGCACACACTTAACAAGCACCTACTGTGCGCTGCAGATACAAGGATAAAGCAGCCCCTGGCCTTTCCCTTGAGCTCAGCTTGCAGTCCAGGAGGCAGACTGACCGCAACCTGCTCACACAGTGGGGAGGAACGCGTCAGGTGCCCACCCAGGGCCAGGTGGTGCCCCAGGCCACAGACACTTGCCATCGGAGCTAGGCTCTGGCATCACACCAGCTGGGGTCACTTTGCAGCGAGCCCCACTAGCTCGTCCGACCTCAGGTAAATTCCTTCACCTCGCCCCCACCCACAAGCCTCAGTGTGCTGTGTAAGCCCGCACGGCGATGGAATAGTCGCATGAAGAGTGTGAGATCGTAAGTATTGAGGCAGACGCTACATCCGGAAACCACAGAGGTGTGGGTAGGTTAAGGAGCCCCTGGGGATACTGAAGCACACAGAGACGGGTCACGGTGGTGAAGCTATTAAAACCTGTAGGTCCGAAGGGCAAGGGAGCATTGTCACAGCTCCTACGAGGGGAGCCATGGTCACCCAAGGATGAGGCCAGGGCAGGCCCCTCCCAGTGCAGGCAGGGAGAGAAGCAGACACACTGTCCTCCGAACTCCTCTCACTGGCTGAGCACAGCTGGAAGCTTCTACATGGGAGCCTCGGTGCCGGGACCACAGGGCAGAGCAGTCGGGGCCTGGCTCCGGGGGCCCACAGGATTGCCAGTGCCAGCATGGTGGTTTGGGCGTGGGGTTCAATCCTGAGTTCCGGCCTTGTCCAGCCTGCCTTGTTACTGCCAGGCTCCCCAGCTGGGGTGTGAAATGCAGAGGCCGTTCTATGGGGAGCACACTGTGCCACGCAGTTGTGGGCTTGGGGGCCAAGATAAGGGAGCACTGAGCTCCCCAGCCTGAGCGGGGAGGGAGCCCACAGGACAAGCAGGGAGGACGCCAGCAAGGATGTGGGCACTGGTTCGGTGCTGGCCAAGGACTGTGGTTGTGTTGCACCTGTCCGGGTGGCCTCGAAAGTGGTCCCTGGCCTCTGATTTCTGCAGGCCCTGAGGTTGCCCTACGTGGACTACATCGAGGAGGACTCCTCTGTCTTTGCCCAGAGCATCCCGTGGAACCTGGAGCGGATAATCCCTGCACGCCACCAGGTGGAGGAGTTCCCTATGCCCAGTGAGATCCCCGCCGCGCCCGCCCCTCACGCTGACCTGCATCTGCCTCCTCTTCTCTGGCGTTTGATAATCTGGTGGTCCTCTCCTCTCCGTGGCTTGGAGTATGACCTGGGTCATGCCCAGGTCTCTCATCCCCTTCTTATTCTGCCCCACCAGCCCCTGGCACTATTAGCCATCCTGCGGTTCTGCATGGGCTCTTCTGCCTGTGGCCTCTAGGCTGTTTCTCCCACTCTTTGCTCTGCCTGGCGAGGCCTGGCTATGGACAGGAGGGGAAGGAGAGGCCAAGGGAAGGGTCTGGTTCCGGCAGGGCCTGCTGGGTGGAGCTGGGAAGGCTGGACGTGCACCCTGTCAGGGAAGAGGAGCAGGGCTCGCGCTGGACTGTGCTGCACTTGAGGTCCCCGGGGCCTGAGGTTCGGAGCTCAGAGGAGGGGCAGTCGGGCTCTGGGGTCTAGGATGTGGACACAGCATAGGTCACGAGGATGTGCTGAGGATTAAATGAGTTGATACCTTCAAGGCGCTTACCACAGTTCGGGGATATGGCACACTGTAAACACGTGAACGCTGGCATTAATGCCACGGTTATTCTCTCCTCTCCCACAAATGTCACCTTGGAAAGGTGGAGGCAGCTTGGTGGAGGTGTATCTGTTGGACACCAGCATCCAGAGAGGCCACCGGGAAATTGAGGGCAGGGTCACGGTCACCGACTTTGGGACTGTGCCTGAGGAGGACGGCACACGCTCTCACAGACAGGTGAGCAGGGTCCTCAGGCGGGAGGGTTGCCCTAGGGCTTGGGGGGTCCTTCCCCTGGTCTTGGAGGGAGGTGGGTACCCGGTCTCCCCAGCTGTCCCACACCCTTCCCTGCCCTCAGCTGTGGGGTGGGGGTGTCCGTCCATCCAGCCACTGCTTGAACACTGTGGAGTGAGTGGACTTGCTCACGTGGCCCCTGTGTTGGTCGAGCAGGCAAGCAAGTGTGACAGCCACGGCACTCACCTGGCGGGGGTGGTCAGCGGCCGGGACGCGGGCGTGGCCAAGGGCACCAGCCTGCGCAGCCTGCGCGTGCTCAACTGCCAAGGGAAGGGCGCGGTCAGCGGCACCCTCGTTGGTGAGTGAGGGCCCGGGTGGTGCCGCTCTCACTGGACCTGGCATGGGAGGTGGCCTGAGCCCGGGGAGAACCAATGTCCCGACTCAGGAGGCTGAGGCAGCCTCTGCCCCAGGGCCAGAGGGTCCCAGAGTGTCAGCTGGCAGGGACCCTAGAGGTCACGAGTAGGTTGGGCAAACTGAGGCCCAGGGAGTGGCAGGGGCTCAACCCGGGAGGGTCACAGAACCTCGGGCCTGGGTCAGTGGTTTCTCCATGCGTCCACACTGCTCCCCTCTTTAAATCCTTTAAAATATTTATATCTTGGGGCCAGCAGGTGGCGAAGTGGTTGAGGTGCTGGACTCCCACATGGCCAATTGTCATTGAGTCCTGGCCCCAGGGCTTGAAACTCACACTGGGCAGGTGTGTGTGCATGCCCAAGATCCCGAGAGGAGAATGGAGGAGACGGGATTTCAGCATGGCCATCCCCCCTTGGGGGTGATTTCTTGCTTTTTGTCTGTCTCTCTGGCAAGTGCACGTGCCCTATGGCAAAAATAACCTCTCAAAAAAAAAAAAGTATGTCTTTTGTCATGTGACCTTAGATTCAGATAGAACCTTGCAGTGATCTAAGTAAGCTTCTTCCCTCTTCCGCTTGTATACCTCCACAACCGGGGGACTCATTCTCTTTCATGGCCAATGGAGCCTTGCAGGTCACCCTGGCCAAGGAGGCTTGGTGGAAGAACTGGCAGAGGACTTATCATAAGTTAGTTCACCTAGGCCACCAGGAGGATGTCCGGCCCCATCCAGCTGGGAGCGAAGACTCCAGCCTGGGGACCCAGAAGCCAGAGGAGCTCTCGCTTACCGACATTCCCTTGCGGCCAGACTTTGAGCAATAGGCCTGAGGCTGGCGTTATGGTGCCCGTCAAACAGTTGATAAAACCAGCCCAGAGAGGGAAGGTGATCTGCCCAGGGTCATGCGGCGAGAACTGGTGACCTCACTGGGGTAGGTGCTGGCTCCAGGCAGCAAGTCCCTGGGTCAGACCTGATCTGGCAGAGCAGCTGCAGGCCTATGGAGAAGGCGGAGAAGGCCCCGCAGCAGCACCCCACGGCCTCCATCCTGAGACTTTCTGTTGAGAGCACAGGTTTTGATATTCGTGTTGAAGGCAAGATCAATATCCCTCGCCCCATCGGTGGTTCCCTGTGCTTCTCCCACCTCTTTATTGACTGGCCTAGGCTCAGGCAGGCCAGTTCCCAAAGGTCAGTGTGTTGAGGGGGAGCCTGCTCCTTCCCTAAAAGTCCTTCCCAGGTCTTCCTGGGGAAGGACAGCCCCTTGGGGGTTGCATTGTGGCCATAAACC